TTTTTTAATGTTTTTATTTATTTTTGAGACAGAGAGAGACAGAGCATGACCAGGGGAGGGGCAGAGAGAGAGGGGGACACAGAATCCAAAGCAGGCTCCAGGCTCTGAGCTGTCAGCACAGAGCCTGACGTGGGGCTTGAACTCACAGACTGTGAGATCATGACCTGAGCTGAAGTCGGATGCTCAACCGACTGAGCCACCCAGGCGCCCCTGTTATTTAGTTCTTGCATCTCCTTTCATGTTGTGCCGTCCCTCTCCTGCTGCCAGGGCCTCAGCTGCCACTTGTCCCATGGTGAGGAGCCCCACCTCTGCTGGCGATTACCACTTCCTACCTGCAGTCGGCTGTCAACAGACAACCAGGCCAGTCAGACCTGAGTACACCAATGGGCTCCCACACCCCTCCCGCCCCAAGGGCACTGAAGCATGCAGCTCTGTGACAGGCGCCTCAGTTCTTGACAAGGTGTCTTCTGAGCATCTGCTCCACACCAGGGACCGCTCCAGGTTCTGGAGCCACATGTGCCCGGGCCCTGTCCCGGGGAGCTGGAGGTCTCCTCGCTTCATTCCAGGTTCCGGCAGTTTTACGGATGCCTGCTAGTCCAAGAGATCCCAGGAGCTGGTCAGACACGCCCACCCCGGACCCACTTTTCAGGGAGACTCCCCAGGGGAGGATCTCTGTGCACGTACTGGGCCGGGTGGTTAAAGGACACCTGAAGTTTGACTTTAGGCTATGAAAGCCTCTATTTTATTTCGCTTACACGCTTGCTGAAACGTATTCCTTTTCTCTGTCTTTAATGCCTGCCCCATCACATCTGCCCAATCCATATGTGTGTACCTACTCCATGCTTTCTAGATAGTGACAGAGGAGTACAAGTAATAACGAAGGGAGCGTATCGCAAAATGCAGTGACAGCGGAAGTCTCTTGCTTTGGGTACTACATTTCCAGAAACAAAATACTACATGCTTAGTCTCGACCCCAGGTTCAAATTTCTATTTTATTAGTGTACAACCACATCTATAGGTGCAGGCCTTCGGTGAAGTCTAGGCCTAGCAGGGCTATGGCTTCAGACCACGGAATTAAAAATTTTTTTAATGTTTATTTATTTTTGACAGAGAGAGAGAGAGAGAGAGAGAGAGAGAGAGAGAGACAGAGCATGAGCAGGGGAGGGGCAGAGAGGGCGGGGGGGAGACACAGAATCTGAAGCAGGTTTCAGGCTCTCGGCTGACAGCACAGAGCCCAACGCGGGCCTCGAACTCACAAACCGTGAGATCATGACCTGAGCTGATGTCTGACGTTCAACCAAGTGAGCCACCAGGCTGTGGAATTTTAAAGGAGCCTACGTCCATGCCGCACACGTAATAAAGTGGACCACGCAGTCCTGCCAGCTCAAGAGCAGCTGTTGTCTGGCAGCAAGAACAATTCTAGGGAGAAGGGGAGGGAACCAGAGTTTCTGAATCACTGCTCATTTGAATTTGGGGCTGCATTGCTTGTTCCCACAACGCATCAGGATGGAGGAGGGATCACTCCCAGCCCTCTCTCCTTGCTCCCGTCGTCTCTCCAGGGCAAATGGTATTTCCTTCCTGTGCACAGCCACATACCTAGCTGGAAAGAGACCCCTCCTGAGGTGCCAACACCCCTAAGCCCTTAAGAGGCCCCAAATCTCCCACCAGCTCAAAGGCTCTCCAGGGTGATTCAGCAAGAGCTCCCTTGCAGATCCTCAAGGCAAAACAGTCAACAGGCAGCCAGGAGCAACGGGGAAGTGCTGGCCTCCCCAGCCTCTGCCCCCACTCGAAGTCACCCAAGAAATCCAGAATGGCAATCCCCCTGCCTTGACTCACCAGACATAGACCTGAGAGAATCCTCCCACAAACTACACCTGATAACTTTCCAAAATTCTGATTGTATCCAACTCTGACACTAGGAAGACTTTCTTCCCAGTTCAATTCAGATAACCCAAAGAATTAATGAATGGTCTTGCCTAATATCATCCAAAATTGCCCTCTAGAAAGAAAGAAATGTCTTCCAACAAAAGTATTTTTTTAAAGCAAAACTAGCTGCTACAAATTTGAGATTATAGATTTATGGGGGATGTGTTAAGCAACTGAAATCATAGATTATCCCCTAATTCGCATAATATTAACATATCTAAGATCATAAAATCAAGTTCATGATGATTCTTCTCAAATAGTATCAACAGTGGTGGTAATATCTGCATCTTGCAGAAGAGTTTTTAAAAGACTGTAAACTAAGTGCTCTATATGCTTTTATAGAGAAGCATAATAAATAAAAGAAGTTTACAAGAAACAAGGACAGATATTTGTACAATGTTTCAAGAAAGGAGGCAATTTATCTTCTTCTGGTTCTGTTCTTTTACTATGCTTTTGTTCCTACAATCAATTCCCTTGATTTACAATTGTTTTAAGGATTATATACACAGGCTTGTCCTTAAAAGTATTTGTTTTCTAGGCAAAAAAAAAAAGAAATTCAAACAATTCTCAGGTAAGATTTACGTTTATGTAAAACCCATTCTAACTTTTCAAGGAAAACTAATGGCACAATTGCTATTGCTAATATTATAACACACTGTTCAATTTTAATCCATCAGACTTAAGAGTCCAAAAATTAATATTTCTATTACAGTATCTCTTCTCCCTCTTCTTCCTATAAATCCTTAACTCTAAAAGGCTCATTGTTCAGATAGGTTCTTCCTCAACTCATAATGAATACAATAAATTCAAAAAAAAAAAAAAAGGCTTTTCAAAGTGCTGAAACTAACAAACTCTGAGCCATCTCTGCAAATTCACACACAGCCTGACCAGGCCACCTTCAAAACCACCAGCATGTGAGGTCAGAGAAGGCAAGAGCCATCTAGTTTGCATCAGCAGGAAACCACACGAGGAATTCATACAGGTCTTGCCCTGTGTCCCCATTCACCTTCTTGGGAATCGTCACAAACAAGAAATGTCCACTTCAGTTAGAAACTCCCACGCCACCACGAAAAGAAACCTCTACCCTCTGGCTGTCTTTGTCCAAACCAGTCTGGACAGAGAATTACGCCCAGGCCCAAGCCCAGGGAACCTGAAATTCAGGACATCAAGGCGGAGCGGCAGGTGGGTTCGCAGGCTAGCGTGCCCAAGCCTAACAGTGTTTGCAAACTGCAAGTTGCCACCAGCATTTTTTTTTCATGCAAGAGGAACAAAAAGTATCGGAGTGCACCTCAGGTACAAGAACGGGTGCCATTTCACAAAAACTTTCATTTAAATCTATAGACGTGTATGTGCCTGTGTGTGTACTTGATCACAGGATACACTGATTTCTTACTGTGGATTGCAGCCAGAGGAGTCTGAAAGCCTCCACCCTCAGGAGAACCACTGTGCGGGCACGACCAGCCCTATCCCAAACACAGCCTGAAGGAAGCCTTCCCAAAGACCAGGTTTCCAGAACCCTGTGTGGAGGGCAGGTGGAAAGGCAGCCAGCACAGCTCTGAAAACTAAGTACCTGTGTCCTTCTGATAAAAACGAAACGATATCACCAGAGAGAGGTACGGGCAGCTGGAACATTCATCCTCCCTGCAAAAAAATCACGACATCAGGGCCATTTTCAAAGCTAACCTACCTTGCAGGTAAGAATGCGACGCTGTGTCGTTAAAGAACTTATAAATTAGAAATCAGGACATCGTGTAGGTGTCTCTTGGTAGGACTGATGCTCAAAGATGAGACATCCTAGACAAATCAGGTAAAAATTCTCAACAGGACAGGACAAGCCACTCTGATGGTGCATCAGCTACAGAGTATGTAAAAAGATGTTGTAATTTTACCCCATCTGTGAAAGTGCCTAATAGCCAACCCAGGAAAAATTTAATATTCTGATACTCTAATTTCAACACAACAGGATTATTTCAAAACTAGAAATGTCAAAGTCACTCATTCGTAGCCGGATTAGTACCAAAGTACAAAATGTGGCACATATTTGTACCAAAAAAAAACCCCAAAATAAACCCCAAACAGAGATGCCAGGGCAAAAGTACAATAAAAATTTAAAATATTTCTTATTCTTTCCACCTGCCAAAATGTTACTATTTAGCCCAAAGACATTTCCTCCTTTAGAACACTACTGTTTCACGAATTATGAAAATATTTATTTAACAAATATTTGTGGAGCACCACTTTAGGTGCTACATACAGAGCAGTGAACAAACCAAAGTCCAATTTTAATAGTGTTTTCTTTCTGCGCAAATACATAGACCTCAGATAAGATAACGCTGAACACAGAAAATTGTATCCAGACTTCACTTTCGCTTTCGACAGCAAAGTTTTTCCATAACATCAAATATTCTTTGAAAATATCATTTTTGGGAGCACCTGGATGGCTCAGTCAGTTCAGCGTCTGACTTCAGCTCAGGTCATGATCTCCCAGTTGGTGAGTTCGAGCCCCACATCGGGCACTGTGCTGATAGCTCAGAGCCTGGAGCCTGCTTCGGATTCTTTGTCTTGCTCTCTCTCTGCCCCTCCCCTGCTCACCCTCTGTCTCTCTGTCTCTCTCTCAGAAGTAAACATTAAAAAAAGAAAGAAAGAAAGAAAATACCATTTTTGGGGCATGTAGACGGCTCAGTCGGTTAAGCATCCAACTCTTGATTTCGGCTCAGGTCATGATCTCACGGTTCATGAATTCGAGCCCTGCATCGGGCTCTGCGCTGACAGTGCAGAGCCTGCTTGGGATTCTGTCTCCCTTTCTCTCTACCTCTCCCTCTCTCCTGTACTCTCTCTCTCTCTCTCTCTCAAAATACATAAATACATAAAAACACACACACACACACACACACACACACACACAACATTTTCATTGGCTACGTAATATTCCATCCTACATGGTGTCATAATTTACCAAAAGACATTTCTAAATGCTTACCACAAGACAAAAATACAAACAAGAGACACAGTCAAATATAGCATGTAAAACCTAGATTTAGGACCTTAGGTAGGGGAGACAAATACAATCTTACCAACCCACAGACCCCGGGCAGTGGACGTCAACACGGCGACACCTTCTTCACCTTGCACCACATGAAGGTCTAATTTGTGAATCTCCCTTTATAAGCCTCACTCCCTCTTTGATCCAAGAGAACATTGTCTGCACAGAACAATACGTTTTCATTTCAATTTCCCTTCTTTTCAGGAAAGGAAATGTTTGCACTTCAAAGGGCTTCTTTGAAGAGCAGCCCTCCGGGTCCTGGCCCATCCAGGTTAGGAGTTCCGTGGCCTCAGCGGGGTATCTACTATCTGGGCGTCTGCCCACCCTGTCACCCTCAAGGCCAGCTCCTTCAAGGAGAGGGTCTGGTGCAGGAGAAGAAAAAATAAACACATGGAAAAATACTTGAGGCTTTTGATCACGCCCTTCAGAAGCCCTTTTTCACACATAATGTAGGTTTACAGCTCAGGGAAACTGAGGTCCACAGGATGGGAAGCCGACGTCGCAGCTTCTTGGAACAAAACCACTCAGCAAAGTCCCCTTCAGGGCCAGGAAAAAGTGAGCCCCTTTCAGTTACTGCTGGTAATGACTAAGGGTGTGGCCTGGATAAATGAAATGCGGGAGCAAGATCCACCCTTCACATGGAAGTTTTGGAACTTTCCCCCAGAAACTCGAGGGCAGCACAGTTACTAACAAAGAGCAAAATTCACAATGTAGAATTTCACCTCTGGGAGCCTAGGTGGCTCAGTGGGTTCAGTGTCCAACTCTTGATTTTGGCTCAGGTCATGATGCCAGGGTCGTGAGATCAAGCCCTGCATCAGGCTCCACACTGAGCACAGAGCCTGCTTAAGATTCTCTCTCCCCCGCCTCTGCCCTCTCCCCTGTCCGTGCACTCTCTCTAAAATAAATTAAAAAAGGGGTGCCTGGGTGGCTCAGTCGGTTGAGCGTCCGACTTCGGCTCAGGTCACAATCTCGCGGTCTGTGAGTTTGAGCCCCGCGTCGGGCCCTAGGCTGATAGCTCCGGGCCCTGGGCTGATAGCTCAGAGCCTGGAGCCTGCTTCCGATTCTGTGTCTCCCTCTCTCTCTGACCCTCCCCTGTTCATGCTCTGTCTCTGTCTCAAAAATGAATAAACATAAAAAAAAAAAAAAATTAAAATAAATTAAAAACTAAAAAAGAAGAAGAATTTGGCCCGATTTCTCCACTGGCCCACTCGTGGAGGCCCAAGAGGTTCAACAACAGGCAAGCCTAACAACCATGTTAAATAACCACAAATTATCTGCCAAGCGGCCAGTGCCATTTCTTGGATCGAGGCCCCATGCCCAACCTCCCCTTCTGCCAAGTCTAGGAAGTCAGGGGTACATAGCGGACAAGAGAAGACCTGCAACATTTCTTTTCAAGTCTTGAACAAGTTCTGGGTATATGCTAAGGATCTCCACTCTTGCCTACCCGGAGGTGGTTCAGTTCAGCTGCTCAGGGGGGCGACCGCCCAAGAAGTCGGCAGGAGCAGGAAAGATTCCACTCTGCCCAGCTCCAGACGGGGAGCCCGCTCCTCCTCACAGCCCAAGGACGCCATGGGCTCCTGCCCTGGGTGTCTGGGGTGCGGGTCTGAGTGACCAGGTCACCCTGAGTGGAAGTCTTCCACTCACCTTTCTGCAAGCCCCTTACCTGGCCTGGAGCTAAGCTCCTGCGCTGGAATAACAAACGGTTTTTGCTTTCCCGTTTTCTATTTTTCTGGTTTCCAAATTTTTCGCAATGAGCATTCTAACACTCAGAAACAATTTTTCTTAAAGAGCCTTATGAGATTGGAGTGCCTGCGTGGCTCAGTCGACTAAGGGTCAGACTTTGGCTCAGGTCATGATCTCATGGCTGGTGAGTTCGAGCCCCACATCAGGCTCTCTGCTGTCAGCAAGAGCCCGCTTAGGATCCCCTGTTCCCCCCCACCCCAGGCCTGTCCTGTGTGCACTCTCTCTCTCTCAAAAATAAACAAACATTTTCTAAAAAGAGGCTTATGAGAAATTTAGACCACAGTTCCTTTGAAAGATCCCCTCCCATACACACTAAAGTCATATATATTTTTATGCATCCACACATTAATTATATGTAGAGAGAGATGGCTATAAAGGACATTATCTGGACAAGTGAAAGTTGAATACGGACCGGACCGTGGACTAGATAGCAACGTGTATCAAATGTGTATCAATGTTCAGTTTCCTGATTCAGATAACATACTGTGGTCATGCAAGAAAACATCCTTATTCTTAGGAAATACACACTGAAGGATGTAGGGGTAGGGTAAATAAAAGGCCTGAGGTCTTCAGCTTACTCTCAAATCACTCAGGAAAAAAAAACCGCATATAGGTGTGTGCAGACAGATCAATGGAGATAAAGCCATAGATACCTACATAGAAGAATAGAAGGAAAAAGTTAAAGAATGGGTTAATTTAAGAAAGGGGTACACAGGGCTTCCTTGTACTACTGCAACTTTCAAGTTTGAAACGTTATACAAACAAGGTGGGGAGAGCACAGGAGAAATGGAGAAAGGCAGGAGGGGGTTGGAACACTTCCCTCCCTCCACCTGCCAGCTTCATGGCCCTGGCTGCTACCCTGCCTGGGACAGCCAGCCTCAGCACGCTAATCAACAGAGTCAAGACCTGGGTCTCCAGAAGGCGGCCGACTTTGTCCCACACGCCGTCCCTGGTTCCCACAGAGGGCTCTCCTCCCTGCAGAGGGCTCTCCTCGAGCCAAGACGGCTGGACGTGCAGGAGTAAAACAGGGCTCTCCCGTGGCCTGGGTGGCAAGTCCCATATCCATTCTGCTCCAGTGACGAGGATGCCAAACTGCGACCCAGGGAGACCGCGGCCCTCCTGACGTCCGACACCCACGCCGGCTCCCCGTCTGGACACCTCCCTGCACAGCTGTCCGGGGCACCAGAGCTCCAGCCGTGCCACGAACACAGGGCTCCGCTCTGGGCACGGGGGGGGGGGGGGGGGGGGGGGGGGGGGGAAGCGCTGTGTTCCAGGCCAGAGGGAGTGGAGGAAAAGCAGGGCACCGTCCAGTGGCACAGCGGGCTCCGCAGCTCCGGGACTTGCTCAGAAACAAGGGGGGTGTGGGGCTGAGCGGCCGCGAGTGCACGGCTGAAACCTCGGGCCTGGCACTGCCTGCTGCGTGTGCGTGCCAGAACGCGGTCCCAGGAGAGGCCGGGGCCCGTAGAGGCTGCCATGCACAGCCCTAAGGCACACTGAAGGTCGGGACTCTGAGCCGGGCCCCTAGGGGTCCAATCCTCACTCTGCCACCGACTGCCCGAGCGCGTGCCTGTGGGCGACTTGCATCACTTCTCAGGGCTTCCGTTTCCCATCTCTCAAAATAGTGGCATCAACCTCACCGGGCGGCTGTGAGGATTCCGTGAAGACGTAAAATGCCAAGTACACGGTGAGTACTCACTACGCGCTGCTTGTGATTCTTCATCTTACCCTGCCCTGGGCCTCTCCCTTCCTTCCTATTTGATGTAACAGACTCTGGCTAATGGTACTTGGTAGACAGATAAGAAGACACAGAAGAAAAGAACATTTCCAAGCTGACCTTAAGATGGGAAGACAACAGTTACAACACCGCGATGAAGCAACAGTAAGAGCGGGTAAGAGCGGGTTTGCACCCTTCCCTCCCACTGCTGCCCCCCCCCGAAGCGTCCACCACGTCCACCCCAAGGCACTTAGGGGATCCCACGTTGCCACCTCAAGGAAGAGAGGAAATAAGGTGGAAAACAGAGATGGCTCTAACTGTTTGGCTATGGTTTTCAAACTCAAAGCCGTCAGGGTAATTTGGACAAAATATGTGGGGGATCAGGATCACCCCAGCACGCACGCGCACACACACCCACACTGTTACTCACATACGCGTGCACACACGGACACACACCAGCAAGCACCGAGAATGAGGCTGTGAGCTCCGCTTTCCAGAGGGATAAGGAGTGGCTAAACCCAAAATGCGTGGATCTGACATCTAAAGGAACCTGACCTCCAACACACCCAGAGCAGCCCCTGATCCCCAGAGGGCTTATGGCTGCAAGGTCACCGAGGCAGGCAGAGCCAACACAGCCCCAGAGACCGTGGTTCCTCCCCACCATATCTCCCTTCCCCATTGTAGCAAAAAGGCCACAGAATGACCTCAACTGTAAAAGGACAGTGGTAGAGACCGCCCTCCAGGTCTAAAGGGGACAATGATACAGGAACTAAGGTCATATCCACAGATCCTAGACCTGGGTCAGCAGATGCCTCAAAAGCTCAATGTCCCCCCAAAACCTTGGCACTATGTCCGAGCCCCGCAATACAGACACAATTGCAAGGGAAAGGGACTATGTTTTAACCCCCTGGCAAAGTGGGAGACTGAAACAAACTTGTCCTAGGAATTACTTTTCTCCACACCTAAATCAAAGAACTGAGCTTTCTGTCCAGTATAATAGTTACCATTTATTTGAAGCACTTGGTATGTACCAGAAGCCGTGTCAAGTACATAACATAGATTACCTCATTTAAATCCTCTCAATCCTACAAGGTTGGCACTAAGAGCCGATTATTACGCCAACAATATGGAAAAGACTTTAAGTGTGAAAAATACGATAGGAAAGGCACTTATCCTGTAAGCAGACCGCACTCCAGGACCCAGAACTTTCTGCCTGACAAGACCCATGGCATCTCCTTTGACCCCGCAGTGCATGGCCCCGTGGGGAACTCAGGGTGGCCACGCAGAGCAGAGGCTACCCCCCTGCAGCCAGAGTCTCTAGACCACCTGCTAAGTGGTCTCTACAATGGAGAACTCGCTACGCATGGAGAACACAGCATGCAGGTCCCATTCCTAAACAAAAGGGAAAATATTTAGTTGTTCTCACAGTCAAGAACGTTATCTGAACAAATATTCTGGAGAAAGCACTATAGCAGAAATGTGGAATGTTAAGGAAACACAACCGCCCATGCCCTCTGCGCCTCCAGAAAAAGGGAGAGAAGGCTGACAATCCACTCAGGAAACAGGGAGAGAGGATACAGAACTACACACGGCCC